ATAATTGTAAAGTTTTATAAAGTTTTAAATAATAAATTTTTAAAGGAATAAATCACCAAAATATTTTGTAAAAAAATGGTTTATTATATAATATTTTTTTTAACCGTTAAGTTAAAAAAATTAGCCAATCAAAATCACGTGATAGGGATGAGGAATAAATTCACCTATAAATTTATACTAGATAATGCAAAAAAACTAATTAATTACATAATTTTTAAAAGATCAAATATAACTCTCATGACAAAATCATTGATAATTCTTCGTAAAAATAAGCTATATAAATAAATTTATATTCATTTGAAAAAGAAAATCTGGTGTAGACTGGGAAGAAGGGGATCATTCTAAGAAAATGTGGACTTACTCCCCTAGCCTAAGTCTTTCACTGACAGTGCACACATAGTTGCTTCGCCAAAGTTAGTGGGTGGTATAGTTCTTTACTAAATTAGAATTTATGTTAGTTTTACATGTATTGTATGAACTTATTTTTTAAAATCATAATAAAGATTTATATGTGCTGCAAGGCCCCTGAATATGAACGTTTTTTATATAGTGAACTTTGTCTGAGAAAGAATCAAAGTGTACAGCAAAATTTTGTTCAAATGTACAACATCAGCAAAAATTTTTTTATATTGTACGATGAATGTTTAATATTTGCTCCAAATTTAGCCAAAATGTACATTCAAAGCAATTGAATAAAATTGCAAAATGTACGACTATACTAATTAGATTAAATAAGAAACATTTTTGTTATTTATTAATAAAAGTTTTTTAATAATAAGTCAATTAAAATAAATTTCATTGATAAACTTTAATTTATTTAATAATATTTATTAGTTTTTTTATATATTTTGGGCAAATATTTTTTTAAATATATTTATATAATATTGCGAAAAAATGGTGAAAAATAATTCACTAAATATTAATAAATTAATAATATAAAATAATTAACCAGTTATCGTAATTTCGCAACTATTAATTTTTATATTAATGTGCAATTATTTTAAGTTTTTGTCTTAATATAAATCTTATAACTAATAATAAAAATTATCTATATGGGCTGATTTGTCTACTCTGCATTAAAAAGAGTTATTGATTGATTTTCACAATTTTTGTTACTTAATGTGTTATCTGAAGTATTGTATTTTGTATGATTTGTTTGTTAGTTTTTCTTTATAGTAAACTTTTCGCGTGTTTTATTTGTTTTACCTTTGTGTTTGTTATTAAAATTGTTTTGTAATACCAAAAAATCATCTGATTGATGATCACTTGACTAAATAATAAGTTGAACAAAAATTTACATTTGCGAAACTTAAATTATTAAATGTAAAAGAGCTGTGAAAAAACCCATTTCACTAATAAAAAACCCATTTCTCATATATATGGAATTTTTAACATATATTATTAAAAAGTAAGTATATTTTAATAAAATATAAAGT